GCACAGGAGGAGACTGTCCATCCTTCTCCCATGGAGTGGTAGGTGGCCTCAAACCACATGCCTTTGGGATTGCAGCACATCTTCTTGCCATTGTTGATTGCTGTCGAGTCAAGCACGACGCACAGGGATTCTATGAACAAAAGAAGCCTTTCTATATCTATTGTTTCTCAAAGTTCATTGAGTTTTCCAGAGGCATGTTGTTTAGGAAGTGGATGCCACTAGGCCACCATAAATAATCTAATACTTGAGAAAACTTTGTCTCATATATTTTGCGAATGTTGCCAGGAGAGAACATGCCTTGAAGAGGAATATCATACTTGGAGATGCAGAGTGTGGGTGAAGGAGGAAGAGCCTCAATCAGATGGATTGGACAGTGGTGGTCACAATGGGCTCTACCACGTCAGGATGTGTGAGGATGACACAGGATAGGCAGGTTTCACATCTGTTGTTCATAGGGTTGCTCTGGGTCCTACTCCACGCACCTAAGAACACAATACCTGAGGAGCGTGGTCATAAGACATTTACCTTCCTTCATCTACCAACCACTCTCCAAACAGAAGCAGTTTGCCTCTGCATCCTCCTAAAAGGCACTTGATCTTTACCCCACAGTGTAGCTGTTGAGTCTGAACTGCATAGTCTGAGCAGCTCAATGTCTTATCCACAGCTCTTGTAGGTCACACAATTCTTGTGTAAGAAACAGCAGATCAAAAGGAGTCAAGGTTTTGCAGTTCCACTGATTGGAATCTTGTATCTATTCTTTAGTGGACAGGTGGTCTTGGGACACACTTTAACTGAGCCTGTTTTCTTATCTATGAGATTAAAAATATCTTTTTATATAAGGCTCCCAAGAGGAGTAAGTGAAATAATGTATGCCAACCACCACTGTTATGTTCATCTGACACACTGTAATTGTAAAAGGAGCAAGGGCCCCAGGGAGCTGGCCATATCTGATCTCTATAAACTCCACAAGGGGGAACTGTTCCCGTCAACAATATCAACACAAAATTAATTTCTATGAAGTCAGACATGTCCCCCATGCTCCTGCATCTTTTTTGAACATCAATCTCATCCCAACATCAAGCTTACTGCTCTACTGGGTTCAAAATCTGTTGCAAAAGCTCACAGACCACAGAGAACCATATTAAGTGAAAAAAGCTACAATTCAGGTTGGTAGCAGATACTGTCACTCAGTCAGCCCAACTTCCAAAATGTGCTCACAGGCATCTCAGTCCTGGCTTTAGTCAAGTGTAACAAAGCCCTTGTTGTTTCGGTTGTGTGTTGTCATGTTGGAACTAATGTATAGCTGACCCCTCAGCAGGCTTTCAGAGACAGTAAATTGCACAGGAGGAGACCACCCATCCTTCTCCCATAGAGTAGCCCATGGATTTGAACTGTGTGACTTTGAGATTGCAGTGCAGCTTCTTACCACTAGCACTCCCTACAAAGCCTACAGTCTTGCCAATTATGACTCTCCTCCTGAGTTCTCCAAAGGCTCTTAGCTTGGTTCCATGGGGTAGCAGTCCCAAGGCCAGCTTCTTCTCATATCAGAAAGCTGCTTCTCTGCTGTGGCTGCTACACTCTTCTATCGGTATGGCTGGTATAAGCATCTCTGGCCCTGAACAGCACGCTCCATTCTCCTGCTTCATTTTTGCTGTTGGGGAGATTACCACAATTTGCCACTGAATCTGGTGAATTTAGTGGTGAGAACAGCCAATCCCCTCGTGGATAGGGTAACACACCCTATTTGCATATTTCTACCCACCCACATGGCAAAGTCAAAGTCAATGGTTAGGGGAGCCATTTTGAACAACAAACTGTTAGCCCCACCGTGGTGGTTTGTGTGTTGCAGTGATGCTGAAAAGCTATGCCACTGGCATTTCAGCCAGCAGCTGGGTCGCCCATGGTGGACAGATTTCAGGAGAGCTTCCAGACTAAGACATAGGAAGAAGCAGAATGGGTCATGCACTTCTGAATTAATGTGCCCTCCAAAAACCCATGAGGAGCAGCAGGACATTGAAACAGGGCCAGAAGGGAAGCCCCTTAGGTTGGAAGGCACTCAAAAAGCACCTGGGGAATTGTTTCCACCTCAGAGGAGAATTTCTCCTAAAGATGCTGATGGAGTAGTGTTCATGTGCTGATCTGGCAAGACTCAAAATGAGGAGAAACAGCTGCAAACAACCAGTAGTAGCTGGAATGTGAAATGGATGAAGTCTGAACCTAGGAAAATTGGAAGTTGTAAAAAGTGAAAGGGAATGCAAAAAGATCATGTTAGGCACCACCAAGCTGAGATGAACTGGGAGGGGCCATTCTGAATCAGACAATCCAGTGATTTACTATGCCAGGAATGAGAACTTAATAAGGAATTGTGTCACAATCATCATCAAAAAGAACATTTAAAGATCTATCATGATGTACAATCTCAGTGATAATACTTACACTCAGGTAAGACAATCTGTTCCCACAACTATTATTCAAATATACACACCAAGCACTAAAACCAGCTATGAAGAAAGTGAAGGTTTCCATCTACTTGTGCATTCCTAAATCGATCAAACAAGGTCACGAGAGTTTTTATCCTACCTGGATTTAAAAACCACCTCAAGAATAGATTTGACGCATCGAACAGTATTGGCAGAAGACAAGTTGTGAGAACAAGGACATCACCCATGAGAAAAGCAAAAAGGTCATCACAAAAATAGGGGGGGGGGGAGAAATAAAAGACCAAAACAGATTTTGGACAAGATTCTGAAATTTTATCTTCAGTGTAGAGATGCCAATGGGGGGAAATGATTAAGTAAAAGAGATAAACAAGGGTAGTTCAAGAAGACAGAGCCAAACATTGTAATGAAATGTACAAAGATCTGGAATTTTAAAAAGGAAAATAAATATCCTAGACATTACTCGAGCTAAAAGAACTGAAGAATAAATCCAAGCCTCAAGATGCAATCCTGAAAGACTTTATGGGCAAAGGACTGACTAATGTTGGAATCATCAAAAGGTGGAAGGACTCCATAGAGTCATCGTACTCCCAAAAATCCCTGGTTGATATGGAATCATTTCAAGAAGACATATATGATCAAATAACAATAGTACGGAGGGAAGAAGGCCAAGTTTCACTGAAGATGTTGGAAAAAAATAAAAATAGGGCCCCAGGAATTTACAGAAAACCAACTGGCATGCTTCAACAAAAAGATATCTGGAAGAAAACTACCTGCCCACTGACTGGAAGAGATCTGTATTTGCTCACATTCCAAGAAAAGGGAATCCAATGGAAGTCAGAAATATATATAAAAATATATCAATATCACATGCAAGTAAAATCTTGCTGATCACTTTAAAAATGGCTAGGACCGCAGGTCAGCGCCTCCGCCCCTCCCTCCACCGCCCGCCAGGGCGACCCGCCCTGCCCGGTTCCCTTCCTTCTCCGGCCTCGGACGGAAACCACCAGCCTCCCACCCAGCGGAACTTTCAGCACGAGGTAGCGCAAGCACCCGGAGTCATCCTGGGCTTCCGGTCCTCGACGATAACTTCCGGCGCCTCCGAGCTGACCAATGGCGTGGAAGCGGAGGCGGGCCGATGCGCCTCGGCTCCTCCCCGCCCGGTGTTTCTCAGGCGGCCAGGGGAGGCGGCGGACGCACTCATGGCTGCTGCGGGGAAGCTAAACCCCCTGCGCCTCCCGCCCTTGCCCACGATTCGGGAAATCATTAAGTTGTACAAGCTGCACGCGCTGAAGCAGTTGTCCCAGAACTTCCTCCTGGACTTGAGGCTGACAGGTGGATGGCTGCTCCCGGGTGTCTCGCGGGGAGGAGGGCTGGGGTCCCGGGCGGGTGGCGGGCGTGCGCTATCGGGGTCCACGACCCCCCAAGATCCACGTGCGGATCCCGTTTAGGGAATGTGGCCTGGGAGCTTGACCCTGTCCGAGGCTCCGGAGGGAGAGCCACGCGCCGGGAAGGGCTCTGAGCATTGGGGTCCTGGCGTGTTGACATCTGAACACGTGCTTTCACGTGCCTTTCAGAGTTCATTGAACTTCGTGCAGTGATTTGATCGGCAACCTGTAGCTGAACAAGAGCATCACTTCTCGTGTTCGGTGTCACTGTTGTTGTTATGTTAGGTGTTTTGCGTCAAGTCGACCCATAATGACTCTTATGAACTACACATCTGAACCCTGTGCTATCCAGTGCGGTCTTCACAACCTCTGACACATTTGAGGGCCATTGCTGCAGTCACTGTACCAATCTACCTTTTGACAGTCTTTGCCTCTTTCAAGCGTGATGGCCCTACCTGAGAAATAGCCTCTCTTAGCAACATCCTTCATCATCTTTGCCTCCAAGGAGCACTCTGGTTACACCTTCTCCAGGACACATCTGATGTTTCTTTTTGCAGTCCATGGGATATTCAGTACTCTTCTCCAACATCACATTTCAAAGTCGTCATTTTTTTTTCTGGCATCCTTTTTCATTGTCTAGTTCTCAGATGCATAGCAAGTAATTGAAAAGGCCATGTCCTAAATCAGATGCACCTTAGTCTTCAAACTGACATCGTTGCTCCTCAGTTTAATTGACAGATCCCTGACAGCAGACTTGTCCAGTATAATACATCTCTTGATCTCTTGACAGCTGCTGCCAAAAATACTATTGTGGATCTAAATAAGGTGAAATGGTTGACAATTTCAGTCTTTTCTCCATCCATCATGACATTGCCTATTGACCTACTGGTGAGGATTTTTGTTTTGCTGTTGAAATGCAGTCCATATTGAAACTGAAGTCTTTGATGCTCTGCAGTAAGAATTCGTTATTTGAACCACTGCTTGTTAAGTCTTTGCAATCCCTAAGTGCTCAAATACTCATTCAGTAAATGCTTTTCTAGCACAAAGCTGGTGAGGGGGAACCACTATTGCATAGCAAGTCAAAGTTCTGCCCCAGGGAGCACACATTTGTAAATATATTCACATACCCACACTTTCATTATACAAACAAGACTTTACCTTTTCTGATGTAAAGTTTATATATATTTTTTTCATTAAAGGTATAATTTTTTCATTAAAGTTTTGACAAATGTATACTCTTAAGTACTACCTCCATTCCTTAGTGGTCTTTGAAAACAGAGCTTGTTGTGTTGGTTTTTTTTAAAAAAAAGATGTTTTTTCATCTCCTTTACTGTTGGGCACTTAGTTTTGATGTTTTACCATTTTATTATAATTTAACTTCATTGGTGAGGAATTGCCCTGTCATCTCAAAGGCAGATGTTTCAACTCTGTCAGCTGCTCCATGGGAGAAAGATGAGCAATCCGCTCCCCTGTGATTTACTGCTTCGGAAAGAAAACCTGTTGGAGGGTCTACTGTGAGTTGATCCCATTCGAAGGTATATAACAACAGTCAGAAACTGGAAGGAGCATAAAGTCTTGCTCATAAAGTTCATTTCCCATGAAATGAAACAAAGTCACATATAAGAGTCTTTAATTTTTGTTTTGTTTTTAATTCCACAATGTGTTGTTTTATTTGAAACCACTCCACTGGTGGACCCCAGGGTCAGCGTAGGTCGGTAACCTCTCACCAAGCAGAAGCCTGGAGGTCCATGGCCCTACGCTGATGGCTCCCTGGGTGTTCTTGGAGCTGAGGGAGGTGGCAGTGCTCATCTCGTTCTGATCCTGGCCGGCCTGGTTCACCTTCACCTTCTTGTTAAACTCATGGTCATGGCTGCAGAACACTTGCTCTTCCGCCCTCTTTGCCTTTCTGTGACGGCTGGAAGGCTTTTGGCTGGATTTTTCCCTCAGTTTTCCGTGAGATCTCTTCTTCATTGGTCATGGCACCTTTGGTCTAGATAAATGCTTGCGCTTACAGGAAGCCTTGCCAGGGGGCTTACCCCTGGAAGTGATGGAAAAGGCTGCCCAGCTGCTGAAGAAGATGGTTGTGACTCCTTGGCTGTCTTTACTCTACACAAGTCTTCCATTTGTCTCAGATCCATTAAATTTTTTGACATAGAGGTCAACTCTGGGTCAGTGACATTGAGTAGACAGCATAACTCTCCTTTCGTGCCTCACCTGTTAAATTGAAAAGGGATCATCTAACCATAGTAACTCTACAGGACAGCTTAGTTCTGCCCATGAAAGAGTTCTAAGGCTGTAATCTTTCTGGGAGCTGACTGCCACATCCTTCTCCAGAGCAGCTGATGACTTCGAACCACTGACCTTTTGCTGCAGAGCAGGTGGTGACTTTGGTCCACTGACCTTTTGCTTAACCACTGCATCACTAGGGCTTCTTAGGGAACAACTATAAGATCTTTAAAAAATGACCAGTCGTACCTTTGGAGGCAAAGAGGACAAAGCTTCATCTCACATACTTTGAGCATATTGCCAGGCAAGGCTTTTTCTTTTTTTTTT